CGAGGTTGGTTCCAAACATCTGCGCACAATGCGTGTAAGTATGTCAATAATGCATGCAATGTGTCTGTACTTACATGCATCCAGCGACACACACACACACACACACCCATCCACCCATCCATGCTTATGTACAGATATGTATACATATATATATGTGTGTGTGTGTGTGTGTACATATATGAGATGCCCACAAACACACATATGTATATATAGAGAGAGAGAGAGAGTTGCTATGTCTATCGTTATACGTATTTCTGCATCTACTGCAGTGCTTACTCCTTCATCTAGTTATTTTGTGTGGCTATCGATGCTACATCTTTGTTGGTCGATCTATCCATTAAATAGCTCTTTAGTATTGCATGTATGTGTGTTTACGTCTACTTATGCTTGTCTCTGATCTGTTCATCTGTTTCTTTGTGTTCATTAATCTATATGTTGACTTATTCGTTTACAAACCAGACAGACAGACACGGACACACACCGACAGACAGACATGAATACCTTTGTAAATACAAACTGGCGTCCTGAAACACATGATCCTTCAATCACGAAACCGGAAAAAGCCTTCTCCCAAAAGACAGAAAGCCAGCGGGGCGATTCAATAGCCTTGAATAGCCCTTCAGCCGAGGCCAGGGCAGCCGAAAAGAAGATCGGGTCATGGTTGAGTGGTTGGGGAATACGGTGCGCGGGGCATGGGAAGCTTGCGAAATAGGTGTTTGCGATAGAGCGGCCCATGGTAGCCAGCACATGGAGAGCGCGATCCCAGCGATGCCCGGTTCTCGGCGAAGGCAAACTCACACGACTTGGTGGTTGAGGATAGTGGGGGGGCACCTCAGGTTCACGACCTTGATCTTAAATTCTAAACTCCAGCAACGCAGGCCCAGTGCTGAACACCGCGAGGTCTGTGGGCGACGGAAATCACGAAACATCCCGAAACCAGAGAAAACCGCACTGGCCTTTGAAGCATCAGGGAACTGACGAAATTGAAAAACCGGATTATAAGTCGCTTGCACAATCTTGGTAGTGATGTACTACAACAATCAAGCCTGTATGCACCACGAGGAATCCAACAGTGCAGCAAGCGTCTCACATGCTTGCAATACCCCGCCGTGGCTGATGGAATCCTTAGCAGAAGAGCACACGCCTTCTGTTGCAGGCAAACTCAAGTTCGGATCTCAAAACCTTAAGGTTGCATGTCTCCGAGCATGCGTAGCAACCATGCGTTGGAGTTGCAGCAAACACTGACCGGAGTGCTGGAGCATTCATTGCGTCTGGATTTTAAAGCCATGACTCCGGAAGAAGCCCCACATCTCCCATCTTCATCAGCAGGCCTGCGGCCGAGCGGTCCGTATATGCAACCTGTCAGCTCCCTCGCCAAGTCTTGTGGGGCTGCGTTTTAATTGCTTAGCGCCTGCCTCTGCCTGTTCATGCCTGCGGTGTAGTAATTACGGAATTCAGGCCAATGGTTCAACTTGTAGTTGGCTACCCCAGACGACCAAGCCCCGCTACATAGGCCCAAACTCCTTAAACTTTCAAGCACCCAACTACCCGCGGTTTTCATGAAAGACAATCGATCCTGCAGCGT